GATCCCCTCCCCACCCGCCGTTTTAGTCCATCAAATTAAATCCCACTCTGATGTATAAAAGTAGCAAAGAACAGAAATATGTCTTCTAGAGCTTGAGATGGTCGAAATCTCTTAGGCAAAAACGGTGCGTGCCTTAAATGCGGTTCCAGGGTTATTTGAATGTGGGTAAGGAAGAAGGATAGTCGAACACCGAATCGATTTGCTTATTATCCTGAGCTTTTAAACTCTTACAGGAGTCCATCGTCCGAGATAAGAAACAGCAACAAAAGAGGAAGTAGTTATAGTGTGTGTACACCAATCAATGGACAAGGGTCATCAGGTCGTGAGAGGTAACAAACGGCGATGAGAAGGGGGGCAATTATGGGGTGGTTTCAACGTTCATCAGGGCGTCAGCAACGAAAATGGGGCAATTATAGAGGATGTGGGCCCAATTAACTGTAACGGACGTCCGGCTGTGAGTGTACGTAATTGCGCAAGGCTCTGTACGCTGGCGCCAATTCGACCCATCGGTTGACTGAATTCCCGCCCGTGGACTAGGCTTCGATAAATTCTCTGCTCCTATTGTTTCCCGCGTTGGCGAGTACCTTGACGGCCGCGAAGTTGAGCTGCAACTTGTGATAATTAGTCGCGATCCGAACATGCGTTCAGTTTGGCCTGTGTAGTTACAGGGACAGCTTAGGCGTGGTGTGTGATACACTACTGCAGATTGTTCATTTGGCGTAAGCCGGTCTTTTATTTTCATCACCCTGCTGCGCATAGTGCGCACGGTTCTGTGTGGATTACCAACACCTAACCTGCAGCGATGCGCTCAGTCGCTTCTAAGACGCCCTTGATGTATGGCAGAGCGTGCCATATCCTCGGTGGTTCTTCCGTTTGGGTCCTCCGGGGCCGAGCTAGTGGGCATCGGTTTATAAATACTTTTAGATAACTATTCCGCATAAATTGGTCGCGGGGATATCGGGCCTCGCGTACCTTTTCCTCCGGCATATTACAGTGAATGTGAATCCGTTTAAAGAGCGTTTTTACACAGCTCCGCTTGTGAACAACTGGATAGTTGCTCTGAAAACTGAGTTGTGTCGTGTTTGTTGCCTTCCTGTAAACCGTCGTCTCGATTTCACCTTTTGGCGTAATCTTGACGAGGACATCAAGCAAAGGCAGCCGCTGCTCTTTTTCTTCTTCCCTCGTGAATTGTATGTCAGGAAAGATTCCATTGAGCAATTTGTGGAAGTTTTGCAGCATGCTCTTCTCGATGGTGACAAACGTGTCATCAACGTAGCGACGCCAAAAGACAGGTTTGTATTGGTTGAAGGCGGTGTTTTCTAGCTCTTGCAGGCCCAGTTCTGCCACTAAGTCGGAGATCGGGGAGTCCATCGGAGTACCTCTGATCTGTTCATAGGCTTCTCCGACAAAGGTAAAGTATGTTGTTTGGCAGAATTCGAAGAACCTCATGATATGTTTAATTTTGAGTGGGCTTCGGGTCTCCTCATATGCCTCTTCAAGTCTCTTGTGCAAGAACAACGAAGTCACATCGAAAGAGACCATGATTTCGTCCGTTTGAATCGTCTGACCTCGAAGGTCTTCGAGGAATCGAGAGGCTGACTGAACTAAGGTAGTGGAGTTGCCTTGGAGGAATTTCAGTTTTCTATACATCCACTTTGCCAAGTTATAGTTAGGAATACCTTTATGGGCAACGATTGGCCGAAGTGAGACATTCGGTTTGTGGATTTTTGGCAGTCCATAGAATAGAGCCAGAGTGTCATGAGTGTGCTTTTGTTTCATCGCTATTCGAGAATTTAATGCGTCACGTTTTATGCAACAAAATAACGAGTGTTCGGGCCAGTTCCGTTTTACTTCTTATGATTTTATACTTGCAGGAGCCATTATTTGAAAGTTAAAAGATATCAGCGATTTGCGCATAAATGGAAACACGTCCAGTGTTTGCCTTTTATCCAATTACCTTTTTCCTCTTGAAATTCCATACCTACTGTCAAGTCTTTATTATGACATTTTCTGGAGTTGACGAAATAGTAGTTAGAAAACCTGGCAACCTGAACTTTCAAAACTTGCCATAACTAGACTGCTTTTTCTTATAAAAGTGCTAAAGTTCCAGAAGACGCACGCTTTTCTGCAAAGGTTGTGCTTCGAGTAATCGGAACCGTCCGTGTATATGGCCGAGCATGCAAAGTACTTGGCAGGATTCTCATAAAGACACACGTACAGTTTGGTTGATGTTCACTCAAAAGTCCAACGGCTACCGCGTGTAATGTGAATCTTTCTTTCTTTATTCTTAAAAATATCTTTAACAGGTTTTGGTTAACGCTTATCGTGATTCGGCCTCTCAGGGCCATCTGTCGCAGCGGCGAAGGGCTTCAAATAGTCGGAACCGTTCGCCAATGTGGTTGACCGTTCGAACTAACGCGGGTGCCTATCATGCGCGATAATTGAAAGGACAGTAATCTGTAAAGGTTCATTCACACGTTTGACTGCCTTTGAAGTGAAGCGAGTGGTAATGGGCAGGCAGACAACGCCTGATTAGTTGCTATCACTAACAGCAGTTTAAACGCGGTTATCAACGCCGTTTTTTTGTTCCTGTTCATGCTCGTGAGGTCAAGTTCATGGTTTGCTGTCAGAACTCAGGTAAATGAATACTACCGGAAAAGGCGAGGGAGGATAGAATTCCCATTTCTGGCTCATTAGCCGTCATCAGCCAACTGTAGATGGTGCATCCCCCGAGGCTCGAACACACGACCTCTTAGTCAGAAGTCCAACGCTCTAACTCCTTGAACCATTGGGCTCGTTGTCTTTCCGGCTTTCATCAGGAATCTTGACATTTGTTGATGAAAGCTTACCAATGGCTAGTGGAACTCACCCATCCCGTTCTGTCGCGGGTCTCACCATCGAGCTTCGCCAGCAACTATGCAAGGACTATCATTTTGGACAGAGGAATATGCAAGTGTCTTAAGAAGCCCCACCTTGAGCGATTGAAATGAGAGGATCCCAGGTTCTGGCTCGCAATTCTTTATGTGCAGAACGTATCAGAGGCGACTGTAAGATTCCTGAAACCATTAGGGATCGGTGTGGCTCATAAGCCGGAGTCAAGCATCAGACGGCAGATCATGAGGCCCAAAGACCAGCTGCCATTGACGGAACAGTCAGCCGTGGTCTGCAGTATACCATGCCAAAAATGCGATGTAAGGTAGGTTGGTGAAACGAATAGACGCCTTGGCACAAAGTTGTATGAACATCAACAGGCAAGCAACCACAAGGATAAGTTGTCTGTGTCCACGCACAGCAGAAAAAACAAGTTTCTGCCTTTGACAAATCAAAGGTAGTCGCCCGAGCCAATGACAAGCTGACTAGATTGCTGCTGGAAAGTTGGCATTCGACTAGCATAATTAACAGAG